GTACCAGCTTTTCCCGCTAGGTAAGTATTCTAGGAACCCATAGGCATCATGTACCAGTGAGTGTTGTATGAGAAGGCTGTGTTTGGCTTCGGTGAATTTTTTTTTCTCTTTGGCGATTCTTTCAGCATGTTTGCCCATTTCATGATGGATGATTTACGAGCGCACCTGCCCACATTGCACTGAGTGTTCAGCAGTTTTTGACCAAAAAACAGCATGACCCCTGTGCTCCACGCTTTCTAGTTACCTGATTTCGCCCCAAGCGACTTTTTTTTTTGTTTCCTTATAAAAAAAGCCCTCAAAGGGAAATGTTTTGCTGATGTGGAAGAGGTGAAACGAAAAACAGCAGAAGCACTAACAGGCATCAGAATTAATGAGGTCACAAACTGTTCTGAACAGTGGAAAAAGTGATAGGTCTATCGCATCAAAGGGAGAGAACTTTGAAGGTGACTGAAGTTTAAACATGTAAGACTAAATACATGGCCACTGCCTTACTAGACTCTGATGTGGCCATGTGCTCTTTGAGCTGTGGCTGTCACCATGCTTCCTGGCTTTGGCCCCCTTACCTGCCTTGGGAAGGTGAATCTCCTCTTTCTTTCTTTCTCCCTCTCGAATTTACTCTTTAAATAAACTCTCTTTCTCCAATCTGCTTTCTAAATAAACTATATTCTTCAATCTTAAAAAAAATAAGCACACAATTTTTAATAAATACATCCTGGATTTTTGGGGTCCCATCTCACACAGGTATACTTGAATTAACCTGTTCTTATGATATAAGGATTACCTCTGATCACTTAATCACAGATTTAATGTGCTCCAGAGAAATGACTGTATTTGTTTTTTAATAGACCCAGAACAGTAACATGATATAAGATCATTGTTATTTGTAGGCAGGCAAGATTGACAAGAAGACTCCTGTACACTAAGTTTAACGTGTAGAACTGTATCACAGTAAAAAATTATTAAATTCTGCGTCTTGTATCATTAGATCATTCACTAAGAAAACAGTCTGTTGATAAACTACAGAGAAATAAGCATATGGACTCTTAGGCGTATGTAGGCAGAACATGATTAAAGCAAGCTTATTTATTTGTATTTCTCCCTAAAGCAGTTTTAGATTATATAAGTAATCTTCTGATTGACTAATTACATTATAATTAATTCATTTGTATATAATAGACATACCAAGTATCTGTGGAATGAATGAATTAATTAATTAATTTGCATTAGCACATTAGAGATTATTAAATATTCATCTTGAAAGCTATGCATAATTAAAAGATAATTTAAATAATAAAAACTCTAATACAGTTTTAGTTTTTGTTTGGAGATTTCTATTTATGCTTCTACTTGCCCACCTCATTTTAAATTTTTTTGGGGGACTGATAATTTATGTTTCTATTCTGGTAAAAAGGTGAAGAAACAAGAAAACCAACTGATCTCTAAGGACCATTCTAACTCTAAACTGATTTTCAGTGAACAGAGGAGACCAGGTAAATACCCATCCTTGATATAAAGTAGAGGATAATTATAAAAATTAACAGCAAATATTGCTTCTATTGGAAATTCATTAGAAGCATTCTCTTCAAAACATAGAACAAGTCAAGAATGCTTAATATTGCTTAAAATATTCAACATCATTTTTATAGACCTAGACCTCTAGCAATTAAGGAAATGAAAATGTAGTTTAAATACTGGGAAGAAAAGGCTACAACCATGACTATTTTGAAATCATTTATGATTATCTACTTATAAAATTTGAGAAAAAGTTATTTAAATTAAAGAAGGAATTTAATAAGGTAGTTGGATACAAAGCAAGGATAATAAAATTAGCAGCTTTTCCATACTTTAGAAATAACCAGTTGAAAATATAACGGGAATAATAGGTCCCATTTCCAATTCAGTTTTCATAGTGTCTTAGCCTGTTTTTTGGTAGCTATAATAAGGAATACCTGAGGCTGGGTAATTTATAAAGAAAAGAGGTTTGTTTGGCTCATGGTTCTACAGGCTGTACCAGAAGCATGGCCTCGGCATCTGCCTCTGGTAAGGGCCTCAGGAAGCTTTTGCTTGTGGAGTATGGTAGAAGGGAGCAGGCATTACATAACAAGAGGAAGGGCAGAAGAGAGAGGGCAAGGGAAGTGCAAGGTTCTTTCTAGCAGTCAGTTCTCGGGACACTAATATAGTGAGAATTCATTACAAAAGGGTAGCACTAAGCCATTCATGTGGGAATTACCCCCATGACCCAAACACCCCCTAACTAGGCTCCTCCTCCAACATTAGTGATCAAATTTCAGCATGAAATTTGGAGGGACCAAATATCCAAACCATAGCACAGATAAACCTTAAAATGTTTAAAAACTTTAAAATATTTGAAACTTATATGAAGAATACTGCAAAACTTTACTGAATAACATAGCTGAAACTTGAAAAGTAGACACCTGTGTTCCCAGGTTGGAAAAATCAGTATTGAGACTGTCCGGTCTCCCCAAATTAAACCAAAATTCAATATCATTCCAAAGAAAATACCAGTAGGATTTTTAAAATAGAATTTGACACATTGATTTTAATGTTTACCTAGAAAAGAAAATTGAGTATCAGTCATCATAAATATTTTTAAATGATTGACAATAAGATAGAGTATTGCTTTACCTAACGTCAGAACATACTCAAAAGATCAAGTAATTAAAGTGGCGTGGCATTTGAGTAGAAAGTGACAAATAAATCAATAGAAGACAATAGAGAATATTAAAACTGACCCAAGTAATGATTTCCTGTTCTGCTCTGCATCCTATCCCATTCTTCAACCAGATGAGCCCAGTCCTCCTAGTTGATGATAAGTAGGCTATTCTGGGTTCAGGCCAGTTTACCGGGATATCATGGGGGAATTGTTCTTCACTTTTTACCAGTGTTTAATTTGAGCAGTGCCAGTGTGATTTATTAGACTGTGTGATGTATTATACTAAATTGAGCAGAGACAATGGAGGAAGCAACAAGTCGGCAGTACCAGGAAGCTCTTTTAAGCACCAGGCTCTGGTTATAACTCTCTTTTGTAGTATAAATCGTATTTTTCTCCTTTGGGATATAATTTTTTTGTTTGAGGCACAGACCATTCCCAAACTCTTCCTCAGACCTTCTTTTAAGTTGGTGCTAAATAGAAATATAGGCGTCACCTAATAAATACCTTATCAGAAGTGATAGATTCTATTGCTGAAGCAACAAGGGGTAGAATTCATACAGTGGAGTTTTAATAGAAACCTTTAGCTCTACTTGGTGAGATTTCGCCCCATTCCCTTACTCAGATGGTTAAAGAATGCAAACTATTCTAACACTTCTGCTTGTTTTCCCTCACTTCAGTATAGAATGGAAATCAGAGTTAGGCAGTCACTGTAAAACTATAGAGAAGTAGTAATGAGTGGTGGCAGTGGATGGATGTGAGAAATTAAAGTAGGGACTAGAGCCTTCGTTAATTGATAGTAGAAGTAAAGGAGAAGGGGGAGTTGTCAGTATTAGCTCATAGAAGGTAGATCACATTCCCAGCTGCAGTGGTCAGACAAGTTTGGCATGCGGGGGACCTTATAGATCATACTTAAGGAAGGAGAGTCTGGTGAGAAAACACAGGCACCTCAGGAGCAGTAATGGCAGCACCATGTAGAGGCAGAAGTCACAGCTCAAGTCCGTATGGGTAATACCACATGTAAATGTTGTCGGCAAAATATTGTGGTTCTGATCTGTTAGTCTAAGGCTGTGGCTTCCGATTATGGTGCAAAAAAAATGGGAGTTCCAGGCTGAATGGTGTTGAGTGAAACGGAGATAAATCACTATTCACTGGGGTTTACTAGGACCAGGGAAATGGCTCAGCAAGAAAAAGGCAGAAAAGTAAACTGGTCACAGTTTCCCTGCCCTGAGAGGAATAAGAGACCCCTAGGATATACGTGTTCAAGGGGAGTAAGATGGTAGTCTGATCCTGAGATTCAGGAGACGATTGCATTGAGTTGTCTGGTGTCTCATGTCTCACCCATGGCGCACCCGAGCAGTTGTTACCAAATACTGCTTAGCCAACTTATCTCTGGTATTAGGTAGCTTTATCTTTCTAAAACAACACCATTTTCTTTGTGTCATTGCTTCTCTTCAGAAACTCCTAAAACCACTTGTTTTCTGTGATATTAAACTCCAGTGCTTTAGTCTGGCATTCAGAGTCATTATTAACTTGCCATATTTACCTACACATTTTCATCAATGCAAGTCCTTTGCTCCAGGAAGATATTACCATGTTTCAAATATGCTATATAAGCCTTGATGTTCATATCTTTTCCTGACATTAAAATTTATATTTTCTTCTTCCTGAGCCTTCTTGTTAACCTCAACTTACAGTGCTTTTCTTCTGTTTACTTGTACTTGACTCATTATTTTTCTCTGTTCGTACCTTTTGTCTCTCCCACTAGTAGTTTGTCCTTCCATATAAATTGTATATTCCTTAAAAGAAATCATTTCTTACACACGATTAAACATTGTGAGTGAAACCTTCTTTTAGTTTTTAATGTATCTACTTGTATAGTATAATGTTTTGAAATGTCTTAGTCTTCAGAATGGTGGAAAAGATTAATCATTTGCCTGGCTTTTTATTTAATAGAGTGTAACTTAGAAATAAAAAATGTAGTCTCCTTGCTGAAAGTTCCTATGGATTGCTTTTGTTATGGCTTCTCAAGATAGTAGATAGTTAAATTTTTTTTCTAATATGAAATAATTTTCAATGGAATATGTGAAAATATAATTTATGCATTTTGTCAATAGTCATGTAAGTTGCTGTAAACTCTCTAGAGGCAGTTTGATAGTATGTACAAAAAAGTTTTGTTTGACCAGTCTGTTCTAATCCAGAAGATGCAATATTTTCACACTTTTTCATTTACTCTGTTAGTTTTCTTTCAACATCATTAAAAACATTTATCTCCTAGAAGGAGGTGTTAATTCACATAGTTCCAATTTATTTGCTTTCTTAACTTTAGGTTGCTATTGGCAGAACAGACATTGAAGACTTGGACCTCTATGCTACATCTCGGGAGAGGCGATTTCGTTTATTTGCTTCTATAGAATGTGAAGGGCAGTTATTCATGACTCCATATGATTTTATTTTGGCTGTTACAACAGATGAGCCCAAATGTAAGTATATTTTTTAAATCATCTTAATAATTTTATAAACTTCTTTTAAAATTTTTAATTTAATTTTATTTTAAAGATGTGGGGTCCAGTTCAGGGTTAGGTATACAAATGTTCATTATGCAGGCACCCTTGTTGATGAGATGTGCCCCTCCCTTCCCTGGCAGTTTCCCACTATTGGCAAAACTATTTTCTTATCTGTAGTTTGTAAAATATGGAACAGTATAAATTTTATAGAACAACTAACTGAATAATGTGGTATTTCACAAGACATGCTGTACGGTGTTATAGACTAGCATTTTTTTTTTTTGTAAACTCTTACTTGTATCTCTCCGTTTTTCAGGAACTCTCTCAGTTGCTCTCTTTCTCAGTATGTACCACCTTACTTTTGTATTCTTTATAAAAGACTGGTGTTCTGCCTATTCCTTCTTTTACATTGAACCTGAACAGAACACTTCAGAGAACTGGCTTTGAAGTTGGGTCTGGACAAGAATTCTGCCTATATCTGTTCTACATGTGAGTCCAGGAAATTGAGGCTGCAGGGAGCCAGGATTGTGCCACTGCAGTCCAGCCTGGATGACGGAGTTAGACCCTGTCTTGAAAAAAAAAGAAGAAAAGAAAATGTGGGGTTTTAAGAAGAAATAGAGTTGAAAAATTCTTCATGAACCGAATATTAAATCTGATACATAAGAAAAATAGTGGCCAGCTCAGTGGCTCAGCCTGTAATCCCATGCTTTGGGAGGCTGAAGTGAGTGGATTGCTTAAGCTCGCGGGTTCGAGACCCGCTTGGGCAACTTGGCGAGACCTCATCTCTATAGTAAATCAAAAAATTAGCCGGGCATGGTAGCGCACGCCTGTAATTCCAGCTACTCCAAAGGCTGAGGCAGAAGGATTGCTGGAGCCCAGCAAGTCGAGGCTGCGGTGGCCGGGAGCGGCCACTGCACTCCAGTCTGGGTGACAGAGTGAGACTCCAACTCAAAAAAAAAAAAGAAAAATAGCATAGTGAAATTAGACAGGCTTGTGTTTAAACCTTAGTACTTACTTAGCTTTGAAAGCTTGATTAATTTATTTAATATTTTGTATCCTCGTTTATTAAAATAGTAATAGCCTCATGAATTTTTTTTGAGGATTGAATCAGTTGTGCTTAGTATAGCACCTGACACACAGTAAACATTTAATATATTGATATCTGTCATCGTATTATTATCATCTGCATTCATAACCATGATTTGGTGACTCAGCCTGTAATCCCGCGCTTTGGGAGGCTGAGGTGAGTGGACTGCCTGAGCCTGCGGGTTTGAGACCTGCCTGGGCAACTTGGCGAGACCTCATCTCTATAGTAAATCAAAAATTAGCTGGGCGTGGTAACGCGCACCTGTAGTTCCAGCTACTTGGAAGGCTGAGGCAGAAGGATCGCCGGAGCCCAGCAAGTTGAGGCTGCGGTGGCTGGGAGCAGCCACTGCACTCCAGTCTGGGTGACAGAGTGAGACTCCAACTCAAAAAATAATAATAATAATAATAAATAAATACATAAATATCTTACATAATTTATGATGACAGTCAACAGGAAAAAATGGTATGCTGTATAAATATATGCATAATAATTGTCAAATAAATGTCCAGATCTGTATCTGATTGTTGATTATAATTTTGTTTTTGAAGACTGGAAAATTTCTCATTTTACTTACTTGCATAGAATTTAATAGATAACCTTCCCTTCTAGAACTAAAATCAGTAATTGATTATTTTTATATAGCATCACCAGTTATTTTGATTTAGATATTTAAAATATATTGTTAAATATTTGAGACATAGAAAAAAGTATTATAATGAACATCAACCCACAACTTAAGAAATAAAATATTTTCAATGGAATTGAAGTCCCCCTCCACCCAAGTTATATTTATATATGCAGTAACTTCATTTGAAATAAGGAATTTAGAAAGTCAGAAAATCCTTTGAAGAACAGTCTTAATGGCTCTTTAGTCTTTATTAAAAAAGCTAATAATATTGAATACGGTGACATTTCCGCCAGAATGAATATGTCTTTTGTGAATAATTTACCATGGAAATCTTATAAACCCTACAAAACTCAAGAGTATGTCTAACTTCCTCTTTTGATTAGTGTCTGAACATTGCATAAGAGCACGTGCATGTAGTTTTGTACCATTTCTTTTTCTACTTTTCTTACTTCTTTTCTTACTGCTTACTACTTTCAAGAGCAGCAGAATAATAAATATTATTTACATTGTTATGTTTATTGTTACAAGGATCTTTGTGAAATGAATGTATACAGTATCATAGTTAAGGTTACATGCTAAATTCTAATTTGTAGTCCTATGATTCTAATCACTTTATTACATTTGTATAAACTATCTTGCATAGAGAAAGGATGTTGTTGCTCATAGAGAAGAAATCTATCTTTAGAAACATATTCTTTTTTTATCTTAAAATGAGTTATTGTCTAAAAAAGGAAAAGTTATATAACAAAAAATGGCTTTTTTGTAATATTGAATTTGATATATTGTATACAGAAGTAGCCCCAGTGTCACATAGAAAAAATATTGGTTGTCATTGTTATAGCTAAAATGATTAATATTTACCAGTTTTCTAATGCAGCTATGTAATAGGACTTAGTCATATATAAACCTGGAGATAATTCTTTGTAGGCATTAGATATTTACTGTGTTCAAATATGGGCAAAGCAAAGAGCAATATTGACTGCACATTTGTTCCAACATTATAAGATTTATGGTGTTTGAGATCTTTGAGTGTGTGAGGAGGAATGAGGAAAAAAAAGAGTGATCCCAGATATTTTATCCTGCTATATCACTCTTGTTCCATAGATGCTTCCTGAATAGTTGTAGGGAAGAAAAATGAAACAGGACAAGAGTTTTCCTCTCATTTTACCTGCTCTCTCTTTCATCTCTTTTCCTCTTTGCTCCCATCCTTCACTAATTGTACTGTCATAAACACCTTAAAGTATAATTTCTCTATGTGAATATTTTATATTCTAGTATTAATATTTTATAAACATTATTTTTGCTTTTAAGCAAAATACTTAGTATGTTAATAAGATATTTAACATGGAATAAATTAACTTATTAATCTATAGAGCTCCAAGTTAAGATATATTATGGAAAACTGTTTCCTATTCTACTGATATTTATTATAAATAGTGTATAAAGTAAATAGATAACATAAATAAGATCATATCTTAGATCCGAATCTTTTGGACATAAAGCTTGGTTATGAGTTATGGTTTTAGATGGTTAGTAAATGTGGATATACATTATTATATGGAGTATTTATTGTCTAATTATTTTATATTTGTGTATTTTAGTTGCTAAAACATGGAAGTCACTTTCTAAACAGGTAAGTTAAAGCTCTTGGTATATATATGTGTGCAAATACACAAATTACATATGTACCTGTGTGTATATATTTATATGTATGTGAGTGCCTAGATGTTTGAGGGTTTTTATCAAGAATGGATGCTGGATTTTATCAAAAGCTTTTTCTGCTTCTAATGATACAATCATGTAGTTTTTGACTTTACATCTGTTGATGTATTTAATTATGTTCATTTATGGTCTTGTGGATGTTGAACCAGCCCTGCATCCAGGGATGAAGCCTACTTGGTCATGGTAGATGATTTTTGAGATCTGTTGTTGGATCCGGTTTGCTAGAATCTTGCTGAGAATTTTAGCATCTCTGTTCATCAAGGATATTGGCTTGTAGTTCTCTTTCTTTGTTGGATCTTTACCCAGTTTGGGTATCAGTGTGATGTTAGCTTCATAAAATGATTTGAAGAGAGTTCTTTCTTTTTTGATTGCCTGGAATACTTTCAATAGGATTGGTATCAGCTCCTCCTTGTATGTTTTGCAGAATTCTGTTGGAGAGCTATCTGGTCTAGGGTTGTTTTTTTTTTTTTTGTAGGTAATTTTCTTATGACATAGTTGATTTCCTGGGTTGTTATCGGTCTATTTAGGGTCTTAATTTCTCCTGTTTCAACCTGGGGAGGTTGTGTGATGTCAGTAAGTCTTCCATTTCATTTAGGTTTTCAAGTTTGTTTCTATACAGGTGTACATTGTAATCTCTGATAATCTTTTGTTTTTCTTTGGGGTCAGTTGTGATTTCATCTGTTGCATTTCTGATTGTATTTATTTGAGCTTTTTCTCTTTTTTTTCTTGGCCAGTCTAGCTACGGGTCAGTCTTGTTTATTCTTTTAAAGAACCAGCTTTTGGTTTCATTGATTTCTTTTTTTTTGTATTTTGATTTTGTCTTATATGTCCCAAATTTGGGCTTTTATTTTGGTGATCTGGATTTTTCTGTTGAATTTAGGGCTTTGGTGGTCTTGCTTTTCTAGCTTTGGTGGTCTTGCTTTTCTAGCTTAGGTGATATGTTAGGCTGTTAACTTGTGACCTTTCCATTTTCTTCTTGTGTGTTCATAGAGATATGAGTTTGCCTCTTAGTACTGCTTTCATGGAATCCCAGAGGTTTTGGTAAGATGTTTCTTCATTTTCATTTGTTTCCAGATACCTTTTAATCTCTGTTTTGATATCCATGTTGACCCAGGAGTTGTTCACCATCATGCTATTTAATGTCCATATCTTTGTGGGTTTTGGGGGAACTTTGTTGGTGTTGATATTTATTTTTATTCCACTGTGGTCTGAGAAGGTGCATGGTAGAATTTCAGTCTTATGGAATTTGTTCATGCCTGATTTATGGCCGAGGATGTGATCGATCTTAGAGTACCTTCCATGTGGTAATGAGTAGAATGTATATTCCGTGGTTGTTGGGTGGAGTGTTCTGTAAGTATCAGTTAAGTCCATTTGGTCAAGCATCACATTGAGGTTCTGGATCTCCTGTTTTTATTTGTAAATAAATGAAATCTTAATAGACATAACCCATATAAACAGTATCTCTTTGGGGTTGATAATTTTTTTAAGAATGTGAAGTGTTACATTTCAGAACTGCTGTTATAGACAACAGCTGTGAGGCTATTATAATAAAAATGAAAAATATTTGACAGGAAAATATGCTCATGCAATATATATTAAGTGCAAGGGGTAAGTTACAAAACAGTATTAGAGGTGTTTTAATATTTGCAACAACAGCAGAAATATATATAAGTATGCCTAGCTAGATAATTAGACTTAAAGTATGTTAAATAAAATTTATTTGGTTTAAAACTTAATTTTGTAAACTCTGAATTGCAATTAGTTTTTCTTTTCTGTACTTGGCTAATTTTTCTACATATGTATTAACTATATAATTTTTAAAATTCTACTAAAGAAAATTGTATAAATTCTTTAAAAGGAAGCTGTTGTTCTAGGAAACCAAATTTAATTCAGCAAATACTAATTTTGTACCTACAATATAATTCTGACACTAACCATCCGGAGTTAGTATCAGATTCCACAGGATTAAGGGCATAGTGCTTAACAAACTGCTCTAATTTCAGGTTACCACTAGTTTGAGAGGCTCCAGGCCACCTACATTCTGACCTGTCTACAAATCTGGGAAGTTGCCAGAATTTAGTAATTTGCTAAAATGACTCATAGAACTCAAAAAATTTTGTAGTTATGATTGTGGTTTTATTATAAAGGGTAGAAATTAAGACCATTCAACTGAAGAGACAGAAGGCAAGGTCTGGGAGAGTCCTGCACACACAACTTCTTTGCCCTTTGGAATCAGGGTGTGTCACTCAGCATACCAGTGTGTTCATCAACCTGAAGCCTCCACTGAGCTTGATGTCCAGAATTTTCATTTTCATGGGGTTTCATTATGTGGACATGATAATTGAATTATTGGCCATGTGATTAAACCCCTTCTCTTCCCAGAGGTTGGACTGGCTCAAAGCCCCAATTCTCTAATCACAGTTGTTTTTTTGGTGACTAGTCTCCTTCCTGAGTCCTCAGGTGATCCAAGGATTTAGAGTCTCCTTCCTAGGAACCAGGAACAAAGGCCAAATTCTTTATTATACAGTACTACTACATATAAGAGACCAAGATGGGTACTGGGAGAGGGAAGAGAGATTCCCAGCATGAGTGGAAATATAAAGATTTTAATAAATTTTTAAAATCATTTAAGTTTACAGAGATCAGTGTGTTGATTGTTTGATCTAGATCGGGGAACATTAGATGATTACAGAAAGTGCTTGGAGTCAGTAAAGATCTGGCTGTGTCATTTACTAGCTGTGTGACTTTGGGTGAGTTATACCAGATGTATTTAAAATGTTTTATTAAATCTCTTACTCCAACAAAAATATTTGAGTTTACTGTTGTTTAAATAGTAAATACCCAGCTTCTCATTGCTGATCATACCTGAGTTCTTATCTCTATGCCATTGCTGCCCTATCAGACACTACTGATCACCTGGTGGCATCTGTTACCTATAGTGCACATATAGCACCATGGAGGAAATGAATACAAGAATCCACAAATAGACTTTAAGGTGTCCATAAGTACTCTAAAGATGCTGTTCCTGTCTTTGGCATCTTAGGAATTTCTTTTATTTTCTCACTAGCTTGACTTTGCAACTAAAATATATATATATATATATATATAGTATATAAATGTCACAAATCATTTTTACATACAACTGTGTCAGGAAGAGTTAGTCTGAAGTGCTCCTCAAACTTGAATGTGCATAAAAAATCACCCGGAGATCTTGTTAAAAATGCAAATTGTGATTCAGTAGGTCTAGGATGGCAACTGAGATTCTGCGTTTCTCACAAGCTCCTGAGTGATGCTCAGACTGTTAGGGAACCATACTTTGAGTAGAAGGGCTCAGATCTGAAAAAAGCAGTGGTTCCTTGTGTTTGCTTAATGTTTTTCTAAGCAGACTAATTTTTTCATTTCAAATTATATTGTTATTTCGCCAAATAATCATTCCTCTTTTCTCTTCAGAATTGACAAGTTATTTTTAATATTATACACAATAAATTAAAAATTGATTTAGTAGAGCAGTGATTCAAATGTTTAAATTATTCAGTAGTCTCCCACCAGCAGTGACAGTTTGATTTTTTTTTTAAATGTTGACTCAGCAGCAGTTGAAGTTCTTTACTGAATATTGGAGTTAAAATTCAGTTTCTCTGTCTTTCCACTTTAATGGCATCATTCTTTAAATCACCATTAAAATACTCTCCATTCCTTTCTAACACAATCCTTTGTTCCTTTACTTCCTCTATAAGAAACCCTCTGAATCCAAAAGTGCTACAAAGAAGAGATATTATGTGAAGCCAAGTGATCATCTCTGACCTTGATAAGGAAACCCACTTTTTTCTATGGCATTCACAAAATTGTTCCTTTATAACTGACTCCAGAACTTAAACCCACTGTTTATCTTAATTTGATTGTCTTATATGTGCACATCCAGTTGTTAAACATCTGAAATTTGGGGCAGCTCTAATAGAATTTAATGTAGTATCTTCATCATTTATTTTAGTTTGAATTATGGGCAAATATTGTGTTGTGTGGTTGCAAAAACCACAGACATAGAATAGGATAAATAATGCCATGTTTCAGGTTTTTTAGTGTAGATTTTTGGCAGGGGGTCATGTACAATTAAATATTTAATCAGTAATACCTTCTGTCATAGGAGTTAAATCAAATGCTCTCAGAAACACCACCAGTTTGGAAGGGATCATCAAAGCTATTTAGAAACCTTAAAGAAAGAGGTAAGCTAATCTTAGTACTTGTCCGTTTTAATAGTGACACTGTGTTATATATACTATTTATATATGCGTATTTTCTCACACTTAAAATAAATTTTATAAAACTCAAAAAGACACCAAAACATTAACATTTCTGTATATTAATGTTGTTGTTTGGTAGTGTGATTAAGGGTGGCTTCTATGTTATTGTTTATATATATTATTTGTATCTGTTACAATAAAATGTAACTAAATAGTTTTGAAAATTGGTTTTTATCATATTAAAAAGTATATGCTACATTTACCAAAGAAAACATTTTTCAATGCTAGATTTCTAAATGTCTGTTTTTCTTTCTTCCATTTTACTTCCAGGTAATTGTAGATATTCTTAAACTTTATCACCATGAAAAATTTATTGGCTGTGTCCTTTGGCAGCCTAATTTGAACATGTTTCCTTAAAGATAACACTCACTGTAAAATTCACCTGTTTCAGTACTTATTATTAGTATTCATGTTATCTAAGTTAATGTGTTAATTCATACTTTCCTGACAATTAAATTACATGATTTTTCTTACAATTTTCTTTCACAATGTACTTCTTGTATTTTATAGAAAAAATTGATTAGCAAAAATCTTTTTAATCTTAAAAATAGTTTCTTAGAAATATGCCCTTTTATATTCTCAAATATAGGAATATACAAAATAAAAATGTTTTTAAAAATTATATAAGTAGCTGTATTTTTATTTTTTATCAACCTTACCAATATTGGTTTGAAAATATTATACTTTAGCATGAAGACAAATACTTTAAAGGAATAGTTACAATTCATATATTTTACTTAAGTAGAATTAGAAATTCACATTGTTTCCAAGGGTTCACACAGACTCTTAAAGGAAGAGACACCTTATCTTTTATTGTAGGCTTATCATAAATAGAGTTTTAAAGACTTTGAGAAACTAAGGCCAATGTGTCTTAAAAAGCACTTAGAAATTTTTCCTTGGAAGTTGTCTTAGCAACTGCCAATCAAATGGGATGATAGGATCAGGAAACTTCAAAGCTCAGAAGGGTCAGGCAAGTATGGTGAATTTCAGACATTTTCCTTAATACATCTCATGGGAAAAGACAAATTGGATCAAATCTGAGAAAAAGTAATATACAGAAGAAGGAAATTCTTTTTAGTTAAGAGAGGAAGGATTTAATCTGGAAGTTCTGGGTTTAGGCATGTTCTAATACTCCTTATGTTATATTCTATTTGCATTTTTCCCCTCACGGGAGAGAATCTATTCAGTGCCAACATGATAGAAATGTTCTATATTTGTGCTGTCTCAAATGGTAGCGAGTAACCAAATGTGGCTGTTGAAACTAAAGAACTGAATTTTTAGTTGTATTTAATTTTAATAATTTTAAGTTTAAATACTTACATGTACATGTGTCCATTGGTTACCCTGTAGGACAGTACATATCTATATCCATATCATACTGATAAAATTATCAGGTAATTGCATGGTCCCTGAAAGTTTTAGAACGGTTAGATTAGATGAAGTAGAGAAGTACAGAGAGCCTTGCCTTTTTTTAATAGAGATTAAGTGGCAAAGAAATGTTAAAACTAAATTTTTGGAGTTATTGGAAACTAATTTTAAAATAAAGAAATATATCTGCTTAAAATATTGCCAAGCAAGAAAATGTTATACAGCTTTTTTAATGATTGCATTTATGAAAACATGTATTACATAGACTTAATTACAACAGCCAACTATTATATATCATGATGATAATTAAACAACTATAATGTTTTTAAGGAACTGCCCTTAAAAATTTTTTTATTGAGTTCAGAAGAAACCTAGTTGGCATTTTTCTTAATTTTCGCTTCTAAAGATCACACCATTGTTACATGCTTAGCATTTATTTTTGTTTCTTGAGCCTGGGTACCATAAATAAGTTGAAGCAGAAGTCTTAAAGTTTTCTATTTTTGTAATTGGAAAGCATTAAGAGTCTGTGGTTCATCTTCAGCAAGATTTTCTCTTTTCTTTGACAATTTTTGTTAAACTGTGTTACGAATTTTACTCTGTTTTTCCTTTTCTGTGGATTAAGCCACTTCAATAACCATGTAGTCCTACAGACAGGTGCCTACCATGATACGCACGGCAGGACTCTCACTACTAAGTAATCCTTCACTTGAGGGAAACTTAAGTTAACTATCAAAAGATTCATAGCTGTTATAAAAAATTTTTATACCAACAAACATCTCTTGTGTGTTCTACCAGGTCATTTAGAACAACAGTCAGTGGGACAGGATTATGGAGACAGCAAGACCATTTCCTTATCCTATCCATTTTTTAGGGATCCCTATGGAGTCTAAGTATTGTATCTTTATATATATTGACCATTCCAGAATCTTTCTCCCATAACATTCATGGCAATCAACCAGAACTATCTGTCTATAAGTTACAAAATTCTAGTATAAACAAAAGAAGGAAATGAATGCTTTCAGGGCCTCCTGGGTCGTTCCCTTCATGTTTCTGACAGACTACCTGACAGTGATTCTTCTCTTTGTTCTTTAACAAAGAGGGTAGGCTGAAAGACCATCAGATACAATGGTGTTTTTAAGTTCATGATCTGGTTAAGGACTTTTTATGCCCTTTTACCAAACATCAGAACTATCTAATATCTAGATAAATATTGTAGAAACATATATTCCTGATTTTAATTTTCTCAATATTTACTTGAAGCTTCAGTCAATTAAACCATTAATTTTATTTTGGGGTGTTATATTCCAAAAACAAGAATTCAAGTAACAGAATGTATATTTCTACTTACTTCTAACATATTCCTTTTAAAGTTTGTAATTGTGGGGTTACAGAGAACTTAGGATGCAATGTACAGAGAGTATAAGCCATTTAATTAAAATAAAAGTTTCTTAGAGTACATTTAAAAGAAGTATTGTCCATTGAGAATAATAATGATAATTTTAAATGGAAATGTGATAACTTTGAATCTTTATTTTTTAAATGCAATACAGAAATCAAATCAGTTTCTAAGTAGGAATGTTCTGAATGTTTTATTCTAATGTTACTAAAAGTAATTAAGAACTTTACAGTGTTTATTAGCCATTTCCAATCTTTCTATTTTATGCTAGATTTATACATTAAAAACTAGCAACAAATTTTAAAATTGTAACTATAAGTAGACATTATAATTTTGTTTTGCAACATATTTGAGAGCATTAATGAAAATTTTATATAGATTTCTACAGAGGGATGTGAAACAAAGTAAAATTGTTGTTGCTTCTTTTGCTGTGGTTTTATAATAAAAATTCTCATTTAAAACATATTTAACATTTAACATCTGCTTTAAAACTGTAAACTCTATTTATAGTGTTTATTGCTATGGAATAATATTTTGATAAATATGTAGATAAAGTAACACTTTATACATAATGTAACTGATACTATTTTTATTCTAGGTGTGATTTCATACACAGAATATCTTTTTCTTTTATGTATTTTAACAAGTAAGTACATGTATTAAATCTATATCTGGGCACAATTTACTTTTTTAATCAGATTTTTGGAAAAGAGATCTTAGATTCTCTTACTACTGAAAATCACTTTAGGTATACACATGCTATTCTGCAAAACCCATGTCTAAATGCCACAGAAGAATGCTAAGTATAGCACTATCAAGAGACAGAAACAAATATTATAACTTATGACATTGTAATAAATGTTCATAAATTACAAATTTAATATACATCAGTCCTTGTGATTTTAATCTACATGAGACCCCAAAGGTCAGGACATGTTATAATTTGTAAATTTTCTACTGTGTTCATTTGTGTCACATTTTCTGCAAGACTGATGTGAGAGAATCAGTCCCTTAACTAGTGAATCTATCGGAATACCATACCCATCATCCACATCTGAAAACTTTGTTCTCTTCCTCTCATAAGCAGCATTTCTATGAAATACATGAAGTGTTTGCTAAGGTTTTCAGTTCAAGTTCTTTTCATCTGCTACAGTTCTCTGTGCTCCAGTCACAAACCTATTTCTTGAATTCCCACCTCAGAGATTTATGTTTTCTGCACCCTATGTCCCCAGTACTTTTCCTGAAAATCTACATGCTAATAAACATAATTCAGGTTTCCTTTCATATGTGAAGACTTAGAGAATCCTGACTTGATCAGCCTCTCTAAATAGCTCCCTCTCCCATCTCTTTCTTTTTATCTTTTTACCATGTTTTATTCATAGCACCTAAACAGTTTGAAAGTATTACTGGTTTACATGCTATGGTTTGTCTCCCCACACTAGCATGCAAGGCTCATAATGGCAAAGATTTTGTTGTTTTTGTCCATCTCTGTATTAAGAACAGTATCTTCTACATGATACTCTCTCAAAAAATAGTGAATGAATGACTGAATAAAGGAATGAATGAAGGATCATTGGCTAAGTGGAATTTCTAATTGTTGGGATTTGTGGAACTGTATGGAAACAAAAACATCAGTAAAACTCATTAGAACAAGTCTTAAAATACCTTGAACTTCTGTGATTAGAAAATTCACACCACTGTGTTATCTTTAACTTAGTAATGAATGATATTACGTTGATTCTGTTACAGTAAGTTTTGAGAGTGGGGGATATGTACATACATTCATTTTGTTTCAAAATTGTCTTATTTCTCTTGTGTTTTTTTCCTGCTTGAACTTAAAATGAAATTAAAATATTAATGCTGAAGAATAATTATTATATTTGGTAATAAGGCTACCTGAGGTTGATCCAGTCTGGATAGCCAGAGTAATGATGCAGGTCTAATAAGTGATGATTGCTACTGTGACAATTAGAATGGGTACCAAGGACTGTCTCAAAGGCTTGTTGAAAAGTAAACTTGTTAGCCAGAATAACTTCAGATGCAAATTAGAAGTTATAAGTACATAAACCAGCAGGGTGACAGGCAAGAATAAGAATAGTGTTTGTTAGGAAAGCCACTTATTGAGATGGGACCAGAATATAAAGGTGTAGGGGTAAAAAAAAAATTTATATATATATGTGTATAGAATTTATGATTTTTATTCCTTTTTTCTTCCACTTACTACTGCCTTGGATTCCAGTCTTATTTATCCTCACTGCTCTGTTCCCTTATATATATATTTGGTGCGGTTTTTGCTGACTCCAGAAAGGTTAGGATCTTTGGGTGCTGTGAAATGTTCTTTGGAGTTCAGGACCCATCTATAGAAACTTCTAAGGAATTGGAATCGAAAAATTATGGGATGTTGTTTAGATTAGAACCAAGAAAAATATGCAGAGCGCTGGCAGGAAGTGGGCTACACAATCTGTTACCTGTTTATAAGTGTCTCTCTTTTACCTTTTATTATTTTAACTGTATTTTCCCTTCTAAACAGTGCTTGTAAGATTTTTCTTTCTGTATGTGTTTTAAGATCTTTTAAAAGCTTAACTTGGCTATTAGAGATGGTTTAAATTTGTACTTCTCTCTCAAAGAAATAAATGGTAATGAAAGTAGGTTTAGATTCCTAAAATGCATGCGGGAAATGAGTTTGCATAAAGGACTGGTTTCCATTTCTGTTATTTTTCAGAGACAGCTGTTACTGGTTAAGCAAGTAGGACTATATGCTTCTCTTGCCAGGTTCAAGATTTCACAACATCTGATAGCAAGTGTTATCTGTGAGGGTTCCCTTTTTAAACTTTTTATGAATCATCTCATAAGAAAAGGTCCAGTGTTTTGAGAAAGGCATGTACACTGAACTCTTCTTTGAAACACACTTTCAGGTTTTCTTCTGTTCAAGTTTTCTTCTTTATGCTGTAGAATTGAAAAGAGGAAAGAGATTAAGCCTCATACAAGGTTCATGAAATTAAAGTTCGTAGTGTGTGACAGTTTGTCTTCCTCAGAAAAGCATTTGTCCCGTATATGTTGGAGGAACTGGGAATTACATATTCAATCCTCTTTTATTTTATATTTTTGTTTTCATAACCTCTAGAAGTTTAAACCCAAATATTTAACCCCTTATGTTTGACATTCATTTTCACAGATTATTTGAGTTTTAATTTTCACAAGAATTGAGACTGGTTCATTGTGTCATATTTTAATTTTTCCTGTCACTCAAGTAGTTAAAGATATTGAAAATATTTCAAATGTGATGAGTTTATATTTCCCTTTTAAAGAAACTGACGACTTTGGATAAGAAAGAGAAATATTTATTTCTAGAAGGAAAGTAGTCAAATTTTTCAGGATATGCAACAGGTATTACAGAAGCACGTTTAAAGTATATTATCAATTCTGTTATTAGGCATGCTAATAAATAAATGAAGCAGAAATAAGTATATTTTAATGTAACTTTTACTATATTTAACTAATAGTAACATGTTACTTTTAATTTCTTAGTTAAAGTTTTTCTGAACAGTGTAATGAGTAACTTTATCACTAATATTTATTTTGTACTTTAAAATAAGTTTCCATTTTCTGCTTTTCTGACAGAACCACATGCAGGTTTTAGAATAGCTTTCAACATGTTTGACACTGATGGCAATGAAATGGTGGATAAAAAAGAGTTTTTAGTGGTATGTATATTGTATGCTGCATTTTACCTATGATTAAATATTGCTTACTTATATTTTTATGTTTTTGCCTTATTGGGAATACTACTATAGAGGAAAGAGTGTAAAATTTATGTTTATACCTTTACTTAATAAAGAAGTATATACTTTTATATTTTGCATAATAGTTACATTACAAAAATATAAATTATACTCTGTATATAATGATGATTATAATTGTTTTACATTACCCAGAAGTTTAGAATGTATCAGATATTTTCTAGTGCGTGGATAGCAAGCAATCCTGAGATTATATATGCCCAGTTAACATTCACTCCCCATTATATCAGCCTCGCAGTCAAAATTCTTTCCATAGGAACTTTTCTTCCTTCTCAGTATAGGATTTATGATTTTTTTCCTTTTATCTTCCATTTACTACTGCCTTGTATTCCATTCTTATCCTCACTTCCCTGTTCACTTTCTTTCCTGACCACAGACTGATAGTTCTTTCTCATCTGACCAGTCCAGCCTTAGTGCTGGTCTGACAGTGTCTTCAGCTGCTCATTTCACCTTCCCACATCCCCCTTCCAGAATATTTCTTTCTTTTTACCCATGTGTCCTGCATCTGTTTCTATGGAGAAATACTATCCTGTTTTTTCTCTGATATGGAAATTAATATTAATTTATTCCCTAGAGTGGCATAGTCTACCCTTAACATTTATGTTCAACTCTGACTTAACTACATTGTCCTACTAAAACAGAAAAGAGAGAGATGGACATGCATAACCGTTTATTTTCTACTTTTCCTTTGTCACATAACTGTTAAAAATCCCTCAGAAAACTTCTTTAAGAGCCTCAAGTTTACTTCAGAAACTGAAACACAAAAAATCTAGGACATCATTCTTTTCCTTAATAGTAGAGAAAGGTTAAAAATTCTCATGAAAAGCTAATAATTAGGCCATTCAAAAAGAAACTAGCAGACTAATTACTAGGATTTATCAAAAAAAGCTTAAACTTCCACCCACATAGTCCTTGCCCAGGTGCAATCTCCATGCCAAGCCATTGAAGCTGGAACCTTCATTCCAGTGCTCTGCAGAATGTGAGGTGGGGTTTTTAGTATGTTTTAAATACATAGAGATATGGTCCTACAATCCTAAAATGGCCAAGTGTGATTTATTGTCATTTTGCTATGGTAGTGTAAAACTGTCTTTTAGGAACTTTCAGGATGGGCCTTCAGCACTGCCAAGTTCCATTCTGCCAACTTAAAGATTAACTTTGGAACTCAGTCCTCTGGAAGTTGCCTGTGTGGATATCTTTTGGAATGCTGTCTGTGGAAATGGGAGTAAAAACATTCATATAGAACTCCTGTTTGCTTCCACTATATACTCTCGCAAAGGCAGCCCTGGCTTTTAAACTGTTTTCTGCTCTTTTTAGTTGTACTTCTGCCTCATACATGAGTACTTTTTGCTTGTGTATTTGTTTGCAAAAAGTTCCCAAAAGCCAAAGGTGGAGTTGGCTGTATTATTTATAGAAGTCTAAAATATTTTATTCATCCTGTTTATAAAGTGATTAGCAATTATTTTTACTAAAAAAAATATGGAAGTAATTTTTGTGATAATAAAATCATTTGTAATTTGTAGTGTATTTTTTAAAATTATTACATATCTTGGGAGGTAATATATTTAACTTTCAACAATTTCTATATAGAATGAAATGAAGAGTTGAAATAGTTATTCTCATTATACAGACAAGAACAATGAACTCTCCAGAAAACTGATATAGAGATAGGATTAGGCTTCCATCAATAAAACTGTAGGATTTTAAAGAGGAAATAATGCCATTTGTACTAGCAACCACTTATGGGAACTTTCTGTGTGACAGGCAGCATGCTAAGTAATTACTTGTAATATTTACTCTGCACACCATTCCTGTAAGGTAGGGAATTATCACCATGTTCTAGATATGGAAAATAAGACTTAGGTAATTAGAGTAACTTGCCCAAGGAATTACACCTACAGAGGTTATACTCCCACCAAGCTCAGCTACCTAAGGGAGACCTTAGAGGTCATCCAGTACATCCACATTTCATATATGAACAAACTGGAGCCCTGTGAGGGTTGATGGGCATGTCCACTTTCAGAAAATTAGTGTGTGACAGAAGCTGGACTCAGACCCTAAGTTCTATTCCAGTGTTTTTCATACCTCAGTAGGCCTTATCTATTTTTATAATATTTGTGTGATTCAGACTCCATGTCTTTGTGTGTTAAAGATAAAGTAAAACTAACGTTAAGTACATTTAACTTAACTATGGGTTGCCAGTATCAAAGGATGTATTTTCTTGGAAGAAATATTGAAATCAGAAAATGTATCTATAGTAGTTTAAAAGTCTTTGGTGGATGAAGCAATTTTTTTGTGTGTTTTGAAAATATACCTAGCACAGAGTGGTAGGTAGGTGCCCAGAAACTCTTGTTGAATCTTTGATTATTGATTGATTTCTTTGTCAGCTTCAAGAGATATTCAGGAAAAAGAATGAAAAGAGAGAAACTAAAGGAGATGAAGAAAAGCGTGCAATGCTGGTAAGAATACTTTGTAGTAGTTTCAGGTGGGTTTTCTAGGTGGTAATTATTTTATTCATGTTGAGAAACTAATTAAAGTTTATAACTTTGGAGCTGTCCCTTTCTTGAAAACTTTCTAAAGTTCTTATGTAGAAAGATTGCTTCAGGATTTATATGCATCAATATCAATATTTGTATCAAATATTGATATTAAACATCTGTATCCATAATCATATTCATTAAAACATTTTCATCCACATTGTTATCTGTGAGATTTGAAGGGTATGTCATATAATAGATTAATACAGATCATTATGCATGTAAAAACTTAAAGGTGAATTGCAAAGATTTAATTATAATGTGAATTTAGTGGTAATATAACAATATGACTTGAAAACAAATACAAGGAAATAATATGTTTTTTGCATTCTTAGAAACATATATTTTAGATTCTTCTTCTGGGATGCATAATATTTTCATCTTATTTTGAAGTTAGAGTTAAGCAACATTTCCCACCATCTTACTACCAGTTTTCTTTTTGCTTGTCCTCAGTAATTCAACCTGATCATAGGCCAGGTTCACATAATAAAAATAACAAACAGTACAAACAGGTATTGAGACTTTCACATCAAGCACTGTACTAGGTATTTTGTATGCATTTTCTCATTTAATCTACCCCCAAATTATCTTATTATTCATAATTATAGATGAGGAAACTGATAATTGGAAATTTTAAGTATCTTGTCCAAAGTTACATAGCTATTAAATGGCAAAGTCAAAGATTTGAACCCATGTGTGGGCAGCTCCCAAACCTCACTTTTATCCATTGTACCATATTTCTTCATCTTGTATGTAGACACCAGAAACACAGTGAATTTTGCTGACAAGTAAATGATAATCGTTTCATTTACAAATTAGTGGCCCTGTGCAGTAGTTTAATTGTTCTACATGAAATTTGAATAATTCAGAGCATTGCAACATTTTTTATTATCATTATTATAAGAATATGTATAGGTTTTTTATTTAACATGGATTATCTACAGCAGATGGGTACCATATTCAGTCCCAATATGTTTATATGAAGTATATATTTATATTTAGTTGAATAAAAGTAGATTATGAGGATTATGAAACACATACTGCTTCATAGGATATCTGACTATGATATAATTATCAGTAGTTGTTGAACCTCCCTCAGTATACTATTGATGAAGCTTATGGAAGACAGTCTTTAAAAATCAAAGAGGTGATTATAATCTTAGCCAAGTATTAAAAGGGGCTTTAGTGTTTTCTACATAATTCAAGCCTCATAGTTTTCAAACTGTAATGAATAAATCCTATATGAATAGCTCCATAAATACAACTGTTTAGAAGATTAGCAAAGAAGACTAGAGAATTGAATACCTTTTTAAATTTTATTTTCTGGGGTAGTGTACTAAAAGAGTAAAGAATATTTAAATTTTGATAGAATACCTCTAATGATAATTGACTGGATAGACAGGTTGTTAATAAAATATCATTGAAAGAGATTTAATTATGTTAATGAATCTATTAATATACTTTAGTGATAAAGTAGATAGTATTTTAATTAACAGAAATTTGTTTTATTTATTTATTTATACTCCTTCCAGAAAGGACTTATGGATCTTACAGTAAAAATACAATACTGTTGTAATCATTAACATTTACTAAAATACAGTAGTCAAGTAATAGAGAGAAAGAGAAAAAAGGGAGAAATAATAGCAGACAGTACTCATTGGGAAAATTCAGTGTTTGCACAAAACTTGGCTCTGAGCATGATTGCAGCTAAAGTAAAGGATATTTAATATTGATTTGAGACAAATATTTTATAACAGTGATGCAGTAAAACCTCATTAACTTGGATTAATTAGAGAAAGTCTGTCTTAATTATGAAATCTAAATTATACAACATACCATAATTATTTTATATGCATATAGGTCAGTGAATCATCCCCTAGCTAATATATAGGGGAAGGAGACTTGTTTTAAAGAACAGATCAAAATAACTTACAAGTAATATATAACTTGTTTATATGTAAGGGGATGCTTACTAAACTCATAGAGCTCCACATGTATCTCAGAGATATTTATCTTAAATAATTTAAACAGTACTTTAAAATCTCATTTTTATAATTTAACTATTAGAACTATTCTTTAAAACAATTCACAAATAATCTTTAGTACAGCTTCCAAACTAACAGTACTCTATAATATAGCCCACTTCAGATATTCATTACCATGTGAATGATAATGATAGTGTTAACTTATTGTTAATAGTCACATCTTAAGTAATGCAAATCTGAACTGAGGAAATTTTATTTTATACTACTTCAGTTAAAGATGATTATGTAAAATTTAAAGTGGAGTTGTCAAGATGATAGAAATGAAACTGATTCCACATGTTCTCAGAACATTTTGGTTTAGTTTTAAAGCAATTAAAATTTAACTTATTGTTAAAATATGTAGATTACATAAGACAAACAGCATAGCAGAAGCTCAGGAGCCAGATTTTTGGAGTTTGAATATTTAGCCCTGCTACACTTACTACCTGGGTGACCTTGAGCTATGTCCTTAACTTCTCTATGCCTCGTTTTTTCGTATGTACAATGAGGGTACAAGGAGTAATGACCACATGTGATTGTTATGGAGGTTTAAACACATAGCCACTTAACTATGTGAAATATAATAAACTTGTAAAAAGGTTATCTGATAGTAGAACTTCAAATTCTCCTTTAATTAGTAGAACCACATAGCTATCTTGAACTGAATACTAACATGCCCAGATCAAAATTAAATTTAAAAATATTTACATACTTAAATAGAACTAACTCTGTTTCAGAAGGGAAGAGGGAAATGAACATAATATTTCTTGAAACACTTATGTGCTAAATTCTGTGCTAGGTTCGTTGTAAAATTTATTCCCATTTAGCCTTCATTACAGTTCTCCCAGGTAAGTATTGTACCTGTTTTGCATCTGAGAAAACAGTCAGAGAGGTTATGTCACTTGCTGAATGTCACAGTACTGATAGTAGCAGAACTGGATTCCAGCCCAGGCCTCATACCATTTCCACTGCCATGTGGCCTCATCTAGATTTTCCCCCATGCCATGTAGCATTGCTGAAGCATGCTAAATAAGACTGCCTACTTATGAGGAACATGTTTTACTCAAAGCAATAGTTCTGTTAGAAGGTTACAATGAAAACGGTTGAAATGAGCACAGATTCATTTAATGTTTAATTACGTAAGATTTTAAAAACTTTGCTACTCATCTTTAACATTTATCTCACTTGTATTGTGTGCATATTCTGTATAGAATGTAGCATAATGATTTGCCCTTCCTAATTGATTATTTTGTCGTCTTTTTCTTTTTTTCTTTTGCTATACTTGGGTTCATTCTGAAATATGACACTTCATTTGGCCCTTTGTGCTCTATGTCAGCGTCTTCAACTTTATGGATACCATTCTCCTACTAATAGTGTATGTACAATACTTTACATGTTCCTTATGTATATAGACCTCTCCTGCTATACTTAATAATGTTGTTTCTTTATAAAAAGTTATATCTGCTACTTAGAATGTTTTGGAATTTATTGAATACAATAGGCACAATTAAGCCAAAATTTTACATTTTATTCCTAGGTTTATAAGGCTAAAATATACATAGCAATTGTATATCTTTAACTTTAGATTAAAATAAGAAAAAGGTAAGTGAACAACAACTAAAAAATCTGGTAGAATAATTGAAATTTTGTATTTGTTAGCAGTATTTGAAGAGATATATATAAATTATAAAGCAGATTCTCGGGCCATGTTTCTGCAGAAGTCAGGTGTATTAAGAACCAGGTCTCTCTATCTGATATACAGTCTTTGTTCAGTTCTTATAAAGAAGTGTTTTAATGGATCCCCTTTTCTTAGATTTCACTATTTTTTACAAATTTTTTACAAATCCTTTGTTGTCTACCTACTTCCTCTGGTCTATACCAAAATCTGGAGTAAGATGCTACTTGATACACTTAATAATGTATCATGCTGTTTCTCAAAGAGGATTATGATTTTTCAGATTCTTTGTCTCTTGAAAGAATTGAGAATTCCTGTAGATGAACTTTCAGATATACTCTTATTTTTATGCTGAGCTTTTCTCTTGAGAAAGTTAGAGCTTATTGGTTACCCAACTACTAAAGAATAGGCCATGGCTTTTTTTGAATATAAACCTGCACAGTTCATTTAATTTCCTCAAGTTTCCTTTAAAAAAATCCCTCAAATTATAGACATTCCATCTGAGAAACCCTTGAATTCAGAGTGACTGTTTTACTATTATCCAGAAAGTGTTCTGTCTGTAATGTACAGTTCTAAAAGTAGGTGTGTTGCCTCCTGTATTGTATAGTTTATCAAAATTTAAAACTATAAAAACTAACTTCTGTAGGCTAATTTAGCATTCTGCCTAGTCACAAGGAGTGGACCTAGGATGGGTTGGAAAACAGGCCTAGTCCGTGGGATCCATGTAACTATATGATCACTTACAAGATACTTTAAATTTTTTTCAACAAAATTCGCTACTGTTTTTTATTAAAGTCTACATTTTCTTCAATTTTTTAAAGGATTTCTTTGTTTAAAATTTCAAAAATATGTAAGAATATAAAAACCTTACAGATTATGATTCCGTATGCCCTATGAAATTTAATAAATATTAATAAAACTTATGACTTTATGATTTATTTTTCTAATTTGTCATCATTATATGAACTATTTTTTAAACTGTGACAATTTTTATTTTTCCCTTAATCTCTTAAATAATCTGGGGAATTATTTATTTAAAAAATACATCTCAGAGTGACATTGTTTTAGTTTAGTTTTTTTATTTTAAAGATGTGGGTTACAATTCAGATTTAGGTATACAAGTGGTCATCGTACAGGTAAAGTTTGGGCCTCCCTTTGGTTCTCACTTCACCTGGTCTGAGACAAGGTATGCTTATTGATGTTATGTGCACAAATGACATTGTTAAAAGAAAATAGATCCTGATATTGCTCTAGCTTAAACTACATATACAGATTTCAGTTACTCGACATTAAGAGAATAATATTGAGAAGCAAACTTAAATTGTATATTTCATTATGTTGTGCTTGTTTATTTAAAAAGTAAATTTATGACTTTACACTTTATTGTGGAAATATATATTTTTCTTTTTATTATTTTACTAAAGCCAGTTTTCTTTCCATACATAAAGTGTTAAAGTGTTACAGTTTGATGACATTTTATTCACAGTCTTTTTTTTTTTTTTGGGTTGGAGTCTCACTCTGTCACCCAGACTGGAGTGCAGTGGCCACTCCTGGCTGGGCTCCGGTAATCCTGCTGGGCAATACTTCCTCCTCAGCCTTCCAAGTAGTTGGAACTACAGGCGTGTGCTACCACACCCGGCTAATTTTTTGATTTTTTGTAGAGATGAGGTCTCGCCAAGTTGCCCAGGCAGGTCTCGAACCCGTGGGCTCAGGCAATTCACTCACCTCAGCCTCCCAAAGTGTATTCACAGTCTTAAATGTTACATGATTTTTTTTACCTCCCATATAAGTTTAGTTGGTTATATAAACTAACTTTATTTCCTGTAATTGAAAATTTTTTGCTTTTCACACACTGCAATCAAACAAGGAAAATTCATTTAAAATTAGAAAAGAATTTGGATAGCCTGAAAATGTATATGAAATATCATTGATATAAAATCTGTTATTACCGATTTATTAGTATAATGTTAGGAATTAGATTGCCGTTATCTGCTGGCCAGAGTGTAGCTTAACTAAAGTGATCAAGTATCTAAATTTGAGTATGGATCATGGATCTGAATATAACCCAAGAGATATATAATAGCCAGTCTCTACCTTTAGGAAGAAGTTTCTTCAGAAAAGGCCATGGTAGCTAGGTGTGGTAGCTTACGCCTATAATCCCAGCACTATGGGAGGCCGAGGCTGGAGGGTTGCTTGTCCCAGGAGTTTGAGACCAGACTGGGCAACAAAGTGAGACCTTGTCTCTACCAAAAAAATCAAAAAATTATAGGCAGTAGTTCTTAAACATTGTGGTCTTGTGATTTCTTTATATTGTTGAAAGAAGATCCTAAAGAAATTTTGTCTATATAGGTTATGTATCTATATTTACCGTATTAGACATTGAAACTAAAATTTTAAAAATATTTATTAATCCATTTTAATGGATAATCTCATGTTTACATAAAGATAATTTTTATGAAATGTAGAGGAGAGTGGTATTGTTTTATATACTTTACAGATCTCTTTAATGACTGCTTAATAGACAGCTGGGTTTCTCATAGCTGTTTTTTGCATTCAATCTGTTGCAATATGTTATTTTGGCAACAAATACTGTCACTTGTTTGCTTTGAAGTGACAGCCTTACTTGGTTCATTTTCAAAAAAAAAAATGTGCCAGATACCAAAACCTAAATAACTATAATTTGTCTATTAGTTGTTCTTTCAAGTAAAAAGTGATACCTCATGAAAAAAGTGACTAATTCAGCTTGCAACACAAACTTCACACAAATATTTATTCTCAAGACAACCATAGTACTTCAGTATGTGGCAGAAGTGCTTTATGCACACTTCTTGTTTCATCACACCAAGTATGAAGAACATATTCATGTTCTCTTCCATGCCTCTTAATTTATCTTTAGCAGTTTACTATATTTTTAACTTTTCATGCTGCATTCTGTATAATTGTTCATATTTATCTTCTAGCTCATTAAGTTTCCTTGACTTGTAATCTGATATGAAATTTCAGTGGTTACATTTTTTATTTCTGGAAGTTTTATTTGGCTTTTTATCTAATCAGTCTAATAATTTTGACAGTCTATTTTTCTTAAATAAGCCTTTCAAATCCAGCTTCATCTTTGTTAAACTCATTAAACTTACTTTGTATTCCATATCTAATCACTTCACTATCTGAAGTTTGCAAGTCTTCAGATAGTATTTGTTGTTTCTTCTCTCTCTCACTTACGGTGGTTTAGGTTGTGTTTAGTAATTTTGTTTTGTGAGCATGTACAAAATTGGGCTATTTCTCCATGAGGAATCTTTGAGGACTAGATTGTTTTTCCTGGGAGAATTGCGTTCAATTTCTTTTCCTTTTTTTTCCCTGTGGTATACCTGGACTGCAGTCTCATGCAACTTTAAATTACAGTTCTCAGATTGTAGTTTTTAGGGCTGTAGTTGTCATAGTGGCAGAAATTATAAGGATATAGTTTTATTTGTGTGTGTGTGTGTAAATATCACTAATAGTAAAGAATTTGCCTTATGCTTCTGTGGGCTGATTTTATTTATTTTATTTTAATTTTTTTCCCTTGTTTGTCTAATCTCTGAGTATAACCTTTATTAGACCCTAACTTTATATAGAATATTTGCCTGTCTGGATATGGACAACTTGGGAAATTATTATTCTGCTTGCCACAGTAATATATTACCATTTCTAAGTCAGTCTTTCTTCCTTTCTCCCTCCCTTCCTCCCTCCTTCTTCCCTCCCTCCTTCCCTTTCTCTTTTATTTTCCTGCCTTCCAATTATGGAATGCCTTGAACAGGATCCTGCTTTGGTTTGGGCAAAGTGACAGTGGGATCTTTAGACCAAAACCACAAAGTTTAAGAAAGTTCTAACAATAACAGACTCTGAACTTAGGCAAAAAATAGACTTACAGAGAACAATACATTCAGGCCATCATTTTGCCTTTGCCATTCATTTTTGAAGTTCTTCTAAACTATCTGTATGTTATTTTTAATTTCTTTTATTGAAAGTCTACAGTTAACATGACACTCTGGTAAAGCAGTCTATAGCTTAGATAGTAATCAGAGATAACTGAAAAGGCTTCAGGAAGTCTTTGCAAATTAACCTACTAGTTACATGTTAAAGCATCATAATTACTTGTAACACAGCTATCACAATGTTCAGTTAACTTGGACGTTTTCCCCCATTAGTTTTGCCTGTATGCATATATTCTGGTTTTATGTTTGCTTTGCATTTTTTTTTTGCTATTAAAATCTAGTCTGATTATCATGGCCACTTTAAGTTTGTTTTAAATATTCTATTTTTCTGATGTAAAAACATCCTACTGGTTTTGTATGTTCTGAAAATTACTCTTCATTTCATCATTCAAGTTACAGATTTAAAAAATTGAATACTAGCTCCAGAACAGATATAGGAATTAATGAGTGTGGCAGGCATATCACTGATCTATTAACTGTTTTTTTCCTGTAGCAATAATTGCTATAAGATGTTGTTTCTCAAAAACTTTATAATTTAAAAGATGGTATAGGTTAAACAAAAACAAATATATTCACTTATAGCAATTCAGTCACATCTTCTACCATAAACTAAGCTCTGGAACTAAATGATGAATGAAAGAGATTTCTGTAAGAGGGAACTTTATAGCTGTTGTGTTCTAAGTAGGATTTTAAAAAAATTTAAAAGTCATATATTATCTTGATAGAGAAATATACATTTAAAAAACAGTTTAAAATATGAAAAGGCAAAAAAGATGAAAATGAAAAATTATTCCATTCAGATAATTAGTATATTTTAGTGTATGTACTTATTGTCTGTGCTCTCAAAATATGGGTTTGTTTAACGTTCTTAATATGTTGTAAGTATTTTTATAATGTGTATGTGTGTGGAAGTGATGGTGACCAGTGTTTGGAAGTAAGGAAGAGGCTTGACTTCACAGAGCAAATCACTCCCATTACTCTTCTAATAAGAGTACCCAATAAGCCTTATTTTCTAGTTAGGTAGGTTTAACAGACCCTTTCTTTAACATGTATTAGCCTTCTGAGTTACAGTTGAAAAATATATCTACATTCAAAGTGTGTAGATAATATTTGCAGAGTAAGCATTTGGAGCTGATATTTCTTGAGGTTATTTTATACCTATTTAAAAGAAAATGAACTGTGTTAGTTTTGTCTTTAGCTAATTTTACCTGTTTAGTTTATAACAGCTTAATTAAAACTTACTTCATTATAAAGAAAATGGTGAGCAGACTCTTGTGTTGCTGCATTTATGTAATTTATGCCTGTATTATGTAAATAACTCGTGCTAAATAATACTTTATTAAGGTTTTATTAAAATGTGGGCAGTGTTTTCTAGTTAGTAATAGTGAATTAAAACTTAGAAGGCCTTTGAATTAATTCCTACATGCATTATAATCTTATTAGTAGCACTGGATTCTTTTTGTTGTTTGTTTTTTGAGTCGGAGTCTCACTCTGTCGCCCAGACTGGAGTGCAGTGGCCACTCCCAGCCACCGCAGGGCTCCGGCGACCCTTTCGCCTCAGCCTTCTGAGTAGCTAGAACTACAGGCACGCGCTACCATGCCCGGCTAATTTTCTTTTTTTATTTATTGTAGAGATGAGGTCTCGCCAAGTTGCCCAGGCGGGTCTCGAACCCGCAGGCTCAGGAATCCACTCACCTCGGCCTCCCAAAACGCAGGATTACAGGGTGAGCCACCGAGCCCAGATGAGGTCTTGCCAAGTTGCCCAGGTGGGTCTCAAACCCACGGGCTCAGGCAGTCCACTCACCTTGGCCTCCCAAAGCACTGGGATTACAGGCTGAGCCACCGAGCCCAGCCTGCACTGGACTTTTAAAAATCAAGAACAACAAAAAAATTTTCATTATCAGCCCATCACTACTGAGTATATCATGCAGCATTTTCTTTCCACAATAGGCAAAAGACCATCAAGCCTGATCTTTTCTGATATATCCTCACAGAAATGGTTTAACTGTTTTTGTTATATAGAGATCCAAGTTAGGCATAGGGTTCAACATTTTCCTAGGAAGATTAGATTATACTTCTTAATCTTGGTATCTCTTTCAGACTAGCCAATACTGAGATAAAAGCTAGTATTTTTTCCTTGTAATAAAGATTAGAAAGCACCGTACACAGTCAAAACAGACACACCTCCCAAATTCCAAGTAGCTTTGAGTGCTTTGACTTAACCAGTTGTTTTTTTTGTTTTTTTTTTTTGACAAGTTATGGATTAATTTAAGCTTTTTTTCGGTAAGGTGTGAATTAGGTCATTTTGAGTCTTTGATACACTAACAAGATATATGATAGCCAACAAGTAACTCATTTCTAAACTAAACAAGATTTTTTAAAGATTGCTACAAAAGTACCCAAATCTTCACCAAATGAATTTACTTCATGCAAGATGTGAATAAAATTTTATTTCACACTTTCTTAGAAGTTAGGCATGTTTCAATAGAAAGACAGAGGAAAGGACTACATCATTTTATTATTTTTGACAAAGCTCCATTGTGCTTAGAAATAGTGGTTATATACCATTACACCTTTGAAATTACCATGTGTTTACCACAGTGTAATACTTATGTGCACAGCAGAAAACAAAAAAGGTAAGCTAATGAAGCTAATGTGTTTTCTCTTCAAGGTTGATTAGGAGAGATTTAAAGTGTATAAGTTATTATTCTTGGTGACTATTTTTTAGATTTCAATTGTGCTTCTTAAAACTTCTACAGGTGCTTAAAACAGATGCTGAGGAACTCGTCTCCAGAAGCTATTGGGATACACTGAGACGTAACACAAGCCAAGCACTCTTTTCAGACCTCGCAGAGGTATAATTAAACCTCAACAAGGTCCTTGTACTATTTGCCATTTTGTTAATATAGTCCTCATTTTATTTTAGAGTCACAATGATGAATCCCAAAATGTATTTTACATTTTAAAAATTTTTTTCAGTACAGCAATAATTGCATCATATAAACGTGTATTTGTATATGTCAGCTGTGCTGACAGACTGCAATGTTGCCTTTAGTAGTCTATGTTAAATGAACTTGCTTGTTGTATAAAACATGACTTTCTAACCTAATTAAAAGGAAATGATGTTACTTTTAAGGCTCACTTTCTGGAAATTAGAAAATAATACCTTATAGTTTCACTGAATCATTTAACCTTACAATCTACAGTTACATGAAATGCTAAAATACTTCACTCTTTAGAGTTTTGTTAGATTTAAATAGTTAAATTTCCCAGTATTAATAGTGAGTGGCTTATCTTGGGCAGGGATCTAGGTGGTTAAGAAGATGTGGTAGGAACAGTTAAACAAGGAAGGCAGAAATATTTTACCTTGACATCATGATTGTAAGTGCATGGTGAAAATAAAAAGCAGGCCGGCCTTATTTCAGTTGTGTTACTGTGTTTGAATTTGATGTGACCTGCACCTTATTACTGCACTAGGGGTGACTGCTTCCACCACCCCATCCTTTTATGTCGCTACCAAGGATTTGTAGTTTTAGAAGAGGGCCATATCTTGCAGATCAAATGCTGTTTTGCATTTCCTATTAAGAAGTTTTATAATTAAAATTAAGAACTTTAGTGGAGGTGACTAGCATTCTAACCAGACAGGATTTCTCAGTAAACACTAAGTGATTTATTTTTTAATGTCTCTTTCTTTTTAAAGTGGATTTCTAATTTTTTTCTGAACCCTTACATTTGTCTTGAAAGTTTCACCTAAAAAATACCTAGAGAAGTAAACTAGAATCATTTGTGACTTTTGTTATTCATATGTACATTGTTACTCAATTGGCATCTCCAGACTAGGGCAGACACTTTAAAATGTCAACTTTGTGGCCGGGTTCAGTGGCTCAGCCTGTAATCCCAGCACTTTGGGAGGCCGAGGCGAGTGACTTGCCTGAGCCCAAGGGTTTGAGACCAGCCCGGGCAACTTGGCGAGACCACATCTCTACAATAAATCAAAAACTAGCTGGGCGTGGTAGTGCGCGCCTGTAGTTCCGGCTACTTGGAAGGCTGAGGTGTAAGGATCGCTGGAGCCCAGCAGGTCGAGGCTGCGGGACTGGGAGTGTGCCACTGCACTCCAGTCTGGGCGACAGAGTGAGACTCCAACTCAAAAAAAAAAAAGTCAACTTTGTTGCTCTTGCTCAATTTTAAAATCCCAAAGCAAATAAATGAAGCAATTTGCCCTATGTTTAATTAATTATATATAAATATATAATTATAGCCAACAGTTAACTTTTAAAATTAAGTTTTAAATATGACTCACGTTTAAGTATGAAGTGGAAGGTGTTCCATTCACAGATATTTTAGAAGTAATTTATTTTGTAATCATATATGTAGGCACATAGTAGTCAGTGCTTAAAAATAAAAGCAACTGGGAACACAACCTTGGAGTCCCTATAAGCCAACAGGCCTAGTTTCCAGGCTTCGAATCAACAGTCTTGTCACAATTGTCTCTCTCTATGCTAAACTTTGCACGTCTCAGCCTCCACCTGTCTTTAACCCCATCTGACTCTGCTAGACATTCTCACAGTTAGACAAAATCTGCTAATTAGATGTTGCATTTCATTTAAATCTTGGGAGGCTTAATATCAGAAGACCAGTCAAGTGTTGTGTTTTCCAATTATATGGTTTGTATAAGATCTTTGGGGAATGTAGTTCTGTTGGAGAGAGAGTGGAACTGGCTGGCATTTACAACTCCCAGAACAAAGACAGCTCATCTCTTCTCAGCGCAACATTCTGTGACTCCCCTTTGGTATTTGAAAGTGGCTGTGAGTGTTAATACCACAGAAATGGCAAACAATACAAATTAATTAGCCTTAAAAAATTTTTTTTTTTTCTGGAAAACCAGCACACCCTTGGCTAAAATCAATCCACACTGTTATCATAAGCCGCTAAATTATTGAATGAATTGATGCAAACATCATGAAAGCAAATCTACTGGAGAGAGGAAAGAAGGAAAGGAAACGAAAGCAAAACTTATATTGTATTCCAAAGTAAAATAATTATTTAGTGATTATCTCCATTACTACCCTCCCACATTAGAGAGAATAATAATTGAGAGTTGACTGTATTTTAGTTACAACTAATTGTAATTCCTTGTAGGTTACTATAAATACCAGTGTAACATAAAATTGTTTATAGTATTTCAGGATTCAGATTGGTTATAGATAATTAGTTATTAGCCTCATTTTCTATTCCAGAGCTATTTCTAACCATAGATTTTTCTCAATTATAGTAAAGCCATGTCTTCAATTATTATAAAATCATATAGTGACAATTTGAATATGCCACAGCTTACATCACTTTCTACCCCAAATCAATATATATAAACCTCCATAGTACAGTATAATAAGCATATCATGCAACTATTAAATATATTCTGGCAGTGCTAGAAGTATAAATATTATTTTGAGTTCTGTAGAGAAAATTTAAAAGTTTTCTTCTTTGCTTTAAATTCTACTTATTCATAATAAATTTCAGCAGATTATTCAAAAACTCCATTAATGAAATCAAGAGCTTTAAGATTTCCTCCAGCCCTTGTATAGAGCTTAAGAATATTATCACATAATAATCAATAAAAATATGTTGAAAGAATATCTTAAAATGCCTTAATAGTTTGACATATTTGTATTTCATGCAAATATATTAATATTTATTTTGTGATACTATTTAAAATAATTTTAAATCAAAACAAAGTTAGATGGGCCTTTCATGTAAATGGCACATGGAGTTCTCTTGTGGCTTTTTATCACTTTGCTGTGAAAACACCTGAATTCATTTTATTTTAACAACGAGTGCAAGAATCAAAGGGTTAAAATCTCTATTTTTGTCTGAACCCCTTGTGTGTTTTAACTTATTTAACACTGTTAGGTTACCAAGGACATTGATAATAGTTTTCAGTGACTGAATAGTACTCTGTTTCACTGAATTGGGGAAGTTTTACCCCATTTCCATTTTCTAATTTTTTTCTCTAATGTCAAACTGTTACTTATGCCTCAGTGGATATGGATTATCTGGATAAATGCAGCATACATGTAATAAGATTTGGATACTGAAAGAAAGTGAAGATCTGCTCTCCTCAGTGGACATGAGAAAAACTGGCTGAATGAGGTCATTCTTTAAAACCTGTGTAGAATGAAGCCATCTCATTTTAGGGTACCATGTCTTGAAGTAAAGAACATCACACACTGGAGGAAAACATTTGTTAATTATGTTATTTGAGTTCACTAACTTTTAGTATTCTGGTAATACTTCCTGTAATAATTCCTATCATTTTAAGGCTTTTTCTCCCCAGATCTATGTAATGTGTAATTTCAGTAGCAAAAAGAAAAAAAGTTAGTGTACCATGTAGAAATCTTTTTTGCCATTAAGCTTCAACATTGTCTTTTTTTTTTGGTCTTGTCTAGTCCTTTTTTAACTTCCTGAAATATATTAATTTGGCAAAAATATATAATAGTTAACATTTATTGAGCATTTACAATATGCTGCTCTGCTGAATGATTTACATGTGTTATCTAATTCTTACTACAAACCTTTGGGATAGGTATAATTATTATTCCTGAGAATAATAATATCCTTAGTGAAATTAACTTACTTAAATAATGAGAAGTATCAGGATTTAAAGCCAGCAATCTGACTCAAACTCATCTTCTTATTTGTTCACCACAATATTGCTTACTTGTGAAGTAAGCACCTTTTTCAGAAACAACCTCTCCCCCTTCTTATCCATCTTGTCCCTTTCTTCCTGCCCCATTTGTCTAGCTTCCAGGCAGATACCCCAGTTTTTCATGCCAGTAGGCTAGAGCCTCTACTCTTACACTCCACTTAGACATGAAATAACCTCTAAAATATGTTCTCCTACTACTAATTTAAGCTGTTCAGGTTAAGTTAATAAACTGATTAACCTAGACTATGCTAAATAGCAAAACATGTCTATACTTGATGTCAGACATCTTTTTTCTCTAGTTATTTACATCTTACAACTACCATTGAGAATATGTGTATGTGTCATCAACACTCATATTTTTGCTTTATTCTTAAAATTATTGTTATAGTTAGCATTATTCCCATTTTACAGATAAGGAAGCTGAAGGTCACAAAAAGTCAGTGAGCCCAGGTTTCTGAGTTTAAATCCTGTTCTCTCTACTAGAGCAGTCTACCTCTTTAAAGCTACTGGGAAAAGTAGCATCTTTGAGAGACTCAAATAATTATACTAGTTTTCTCTCACATATAGAGCCTTGAGGGGCTGGCACCACTAATATTCCTCAGCTTTCATAAGAAACCTGTTCAAGAAAATATATTTAAAAGATACTATGTGATGCTTGGCTACCTAGCTATATCATTTTTCCCCTAGCAACCAGATTAAATCAGATCTTCAGAGAAGTTGTAGGGAATTTCTCAGGTATTATATCTACCAAGAACATTTGGGACTTCTCAGCAGAGCAAACTGAGAAGTAGTAATAAAGATCTTCCAAACCAATTATAAGGAGGTTATATGGTGGACCTGATTAGGTTAAATCCAAACTTAATTACTTAAATATAAATAGAATATTTAAGTGGTTACTAAAATATTTCACAATTTTAGACAACTTAAAGTATAAATACCCTTAATGCTGGAGTTTTTAAGAGAAACATGAATAATCAAAGTACTCATTTAGAAAAACCACTTAATGGAATAAAAGAGGGCAGGAAGGGGGAAATCAGAAGCTATGATCTTTATTACTCCATCCTAGTCATTAGAAGAGAATAGTAATGTTTGGTCCCAGGAGAAGGAAATGAAGATCCAACAAATGTTGTTATGAAGGATAAAATAGGTATCCTAGGTCAGCCTCCTTGGGTCCCCGCCCACTGTGGAAGCTTTTCTGTCCTCTTAATAAATCCTGCTTTCTCAAAAAAAAAAAAAAAAAAAAAAGTATCCTTTATGAAAATTTGGGAAGAAGGCTGTGAGCAATCAAAGTAATATCAAAATTTAGTGTGTGGAAGATGGGTGAATGTTTTCTGTGAAGCACTATGAGGATTCTGACCAAGAAGTACTGCATTTCAACTATGTACCTTTAGTGGACACTACAGCTGTTTTTTTAAATATAAAAATGATAGCATTATTTAAATTCTTATTTTTTGCCAGGCTTGGTGGCTCAGCCTGTAATCCCGTGCCTTTGGGAGGCTGAGGTGAGTGGATTGCCTGAGCCCGTGGGTTCGAGACCTGTCTGGGCAGGCGAGACCTCATCTGTACAATAAAATCCAAAAATTAGCCGAGCGTGGTAGCGCTCGCCTGTAATTCCGGCTACTCGGAAGGCTGAGGCGGAAGGATCGCCGGAGCCCAGCAGGTCGAGGCTGCGGTGGCTGGGAGCGGCTACTGCACTCCAGTTTGGACGACAGAGTGAGACTCCAACTCAAAAAAAAAAATTCTTATTTTTCTTGCGTTTCCTAGGATGACATGTATAGGATATAAATTTGAATATTATGATATTTGTACCTGAGTTTATAAAATAAGTATGGGTTAATGGCCACCTGAAGGGGGGGGTAAAGGTAGACGTATCAAGCTATATTAAAGGAAGTTGGAAGATTTTCATAGGCTATTATACTTTATAAGGACAATAACCAAGCAGTTTTAAGAAAATACTTGTTGGAACCTTGTTGAGTGGGAAAGGAAAAATCTTCTGGAATTAATGTATTATCCATTCAAAATATTGTGTAGGGTTTTTCTTTTAAATTTAAAGTATAAAGTTTTACATGCATAATTTGAGGTTGAAAACTGCCTAAGATATAATCATATCTTTAAATTTTTTTAGGTAAAGATCAATTTTATTTACAGTTCTGTTACTAAAAAATTAGAGATATAAATTCCAAGGTAATATTTTTACTGTAGTTTTCTTTCTTTCCTTCTTTCTTTCTTTTTTTAATAAAGAAAGAAAGCAGGGTTTATTAAGAGGATAGAAAAGCTCCCACAGTGGGAAGGGACCTGAGAGATTGCCCTTCTTTTTCAAAATATAATACCTTTCATTTAAAGTATTATAGTTACAGAATGTAATGGGAAACTGTTGTGATTAAAGGAAGATGTTTTGTGAAATTTGGAGCCACTCTTGTGTCAGTCCTATTATGCAATACAGCTGAAGAATTTGAATTTAACTCTTTGAACATTATTTTAAAATGATTGTTTAGGTTTATTAGGAAAATTCAGACTAAATTGCTTGGAAAAAAATAGACTATTTAGATGATTACTAAAGAATTTAAACTATTTTAGATAATTTAAAGTATAAAGTCTTACATGCATACTTTGAGGTTGAAAACTTCCTAAGTTATACTCATATCTTTAAATTTTTTTTAGGTAAAGATAAATTTTATTTACAGTTCTATTACTAAATTTTGAGCTTTGTTGAACTATAATTGCATTTATTAATGTGCCTGTGTTCATTATTCTAATATTAATATGTTTATATGTTGATAACAAAATTATTTAGGGAATATTAGGTATCCCTAGTTTCTTTCTTTTATCATAGTTAACTTTTAAGCTGTGATTTTTTTTTTTAGCGTGCTGATGACATCACAAGTTTAGTAACTGATACAACACTTCTTGTACACTTTTTTGGAAAGAAAGGAAAAGCTGAACTCAACTTTGAAGATTTTTATAGGTGAGCTTAATTTTTATACTTTTATTGAAAATTGTTAGCATGCTAAAATCAGAATGGTCTTTAGAAATTGTCTAGTACAGCGATAGTCAGCTCTTTGCTACTTTCATCTTAACTGAAGATACTCTGCATAATAAATACCCATGTCCATCAGTACCTATGCATCAGTGGTTATGTTGATATTTATAATAGGTTACTTAATTATAAAAAAACAAGATTGTTATCTCCCATATGATTATCTCCGTATACTCAGAAGGATATATGTTGCCAGTTCCTTAGTCTCAATAAGCCGCAGTACTAATAACAAACAGTTTAAGTATCATTTCTATTAGCAGGTTACTTTTGTCATCCCATTTTATAGACAAGGAAACTAAATTTCTGGGCGGCTAAGTGATTTGCGTTAGGTGCTGCAGTCATTAAGTAGTAAAGCCTCTCTAGTCTCATGCTCTTTTCTTTCCTATTTCTGGATCTTTGTGTCATCATATAAATTTTTTCATGCAGTCTTTTCCAGGATAGTGAATATTTGATCATTTTCTTTTACCATTACTCTTCATTTGCCTTGTTTATTCTTTATTATATTTTTGCCATAGATTCATGGATAACCTCCAAACAGAAGTTCTAGAAATAGAATTCCTTTCCTACTCTAATGGAATGAATACTATCAGTGAAGAAGATTTTGCTCATATTCTATTACGATACACAAATGTGGAAAATATATCAGTATTTTTGGAAAATGTGCGTTACAGTATACCTGAAGAAAAGGTATCTAATCACTCATATTTATTTTGTTGTATATGTTACTATCCTATAGTATATGTCTATAAAACATATTCCCCTATTGTTAGTTTTTGCTCATCCTGTGGATTAAAAGATATCTTGGAGATATTTCATTCTTGTTTGTCTATGTCCTAAGTGCACTAGCTAAATTTTTTTAATGAATTAGTTTTAAATTCTGGGTAGATATCCACATTTTTCTTAGGTATGCTGAAAACCCCAGAGGCTATTAGCAGTTGTTTTATTCAAATTAACAATATCGTTTTTCAAGAGAATTCCATTGAGCTATATGCTTTGGCTACTACCTACTCATCACCTCATAAAAAATAGTTTATATTGACATTATTTCTGTCACACTCTACTCCTTTCTATAACACCCTTAGTAAAAGGTTATTTGAAGACTGCCATTGATGAGTGAGTGATCTTATCATCGGTTGAAGTGAGGTTTTTCAAAGAGTTCAGATGGCATTAATGGTTAAGAACCTGGGACAACTGATTGTCTATTTGTTTAGTAACAAATGTGTTGTCAGCACTTCTGGGCAGTTGCATTATCTAGTGGTATTTGAATGCATCATTGCAACCAAAAAGAACTGGTGTTACAAGTACCCCTTCAAGCATGGGATGTTTTGGATATATTGCCTTCTATTTGTGTTTATAGAAGGATCAGGTTAATCTATCCAAGAAAAACTTGCAAATAGTTTGACTTTGTTTAGAATGGATACACTGTGACAATGTTAACAATTCTCCATGTACCTTCAAGGAATGAGGGAAAAAAGACTTGATGCATTTGTTGGTTAGTTTACATTATCTCTTAATCAGAGTATTTTTATCTGTTTTGCATGTAAAGTGGGATTTTTTTCAATTATAGATACTTTCTTAAAAATAAATTAGAAATTGTACTACTTTAGCAATCTACTAGGGTATTGTTCAGAGCCTTGAATCTGCATTTTTTTCCTTTTGTTAAATGGAAACTAACCAAAAGATGTAACTCAAAAGGTTAAATTCTAGGGTGAAGAATTTATAGGAACTTTTTGTACTGTTTTTGCAATTTTTTTTGAGTTGGAGTCTCACTCTGTCATCTAGGCTGGCTAGAGTGCAGGGGCACACTCACGGCCATCCCAGCGTCGACCTACTGGGCTCTCAGGATCCGTCCATCTCAGCCTTCCAAGTAGCTGGAACTACAGGTGCACTCTATTACGTCCAGCTAATTTTTTTTTTATTTATTGTAGAGACGAGGTCTCACCAGGTTTCCCGGGATGGTCTTGAACCCGTGGGCTCAGGCAGTCCACTAGTCTCAGCCTCCCAAAGTGCTGGGATTATAAACTGAGCCACCAAGCCCAGCCACAACTTTTTTTAATCTAAAATTATTTCAAAAAAATTTTTAGGTTAAATTTAGCTTCTGAAAACTAATTGATAGAAGTATCTTAAGCACAGCACATCAGTACCATAGAAAAGGAAAATGTTGCGAGTGAACCAGCATCGATTGATTCTCGTTGCTTTCTTTTTTCCTGCATTACATCATCAATCCTCAGCAACCTACCAGGTTTGACATCTTTCTTTTAGAAAAATGGGTCTAGGCGCAGTCATTCATGCCGGTAGTCCTAGCATTTCGGAAGGCAGAGGTGGGAGGATAGCTTGAGCCCAGCAGTTTGAGACTAGCCTGGTCAACATAGTGAGACCTCCGTCTCTAAAAAGTAGCCAGGTGTCATGGCGCTCTTGTAGTCCCAGCTGCTTGGGAAGCTGGTGCAGGAGGCTAGCTTGATCCAGGAGCTGGAGGTTGCAGTGAGCTGTGATCATACCATTACACTCCTGCCTGGGCAACAGAGTGAGATTCTTACTCAAAAAAAAAGGAAAGGAAAGAAGGAAGGAAGGAAAAAGAGAAGCTGAGACTTTTAGTACTTAGACACTTGTCCAAGGGTTCAAACTCACAGCTTTCTAAGTTAATGTTATTCTTACCACTCCCTGTTTTTCTTTGCCTTCTAACACCCTTTTATTTCTAAAACACTTCCATTTTTATCTGTTTATCTAATAGATATTTATTAAGCATCTACTGTTTACTAGGCCTTATTCTAGCTTAGGGGTTAAAGTGACAACAGCATAAGCAAAATCCTTCTCTTATGGAAGTATATCTAAATGGAAAGACAAAATAAACAAGTAAAACAAAAGGCATACTTTCATATAATGGTAATTATGAAGGGGACCAAGAGTCATGGCGACTGGAAAAGAAGGTGGACTGTCAGGGAGAGCTTTGCTGAAGAGGTAGCTTTTGCAGAGAGACTGTGAGGAATGAGCTATGCAGAGAATTGGCTGAAGAGCATTCCAGGCAGAGGTAACAACAAATACCAAGGACCTAAGGATAGAAAAGCCTGGTTTATTTAAGAAAATGTCAGAAGGCAAAACAAGTGAACAGGAAAATAATAGGAGATTAGGAGAAATAGATAGATGTGGGTCAGGTCTTTTAGGACCCAGGCCAGGGCAAGGAGCTTAGATTTTATCCTATTAATGACTCTAAGAGTGTTGGAAGCCATTATAGTGTTTAAAGTTTAAAGCAGGTATCAATAAACTACCCCACCTCCTATTTTTGTAAATAAAGTTTCTGTTTTGGAACACAGCTATCCTCATTCATTTACTGTATTGTTTGTACTTGCTTTTGTACCATTAATGATTGAATTGAGTCATTGCAACAGAGACCATCTAGCCAGCAAAATTGAAAATATTCTCTGGCCCTTTACAGAAAAAGTTTACCAGCCTTGCTGTAGAGCATAGGCATGTTAATTCATTCAACAAGTATTTATTCAACAAGTATTGACTGTCTGCTAAGACACTCAGATATGGCCCGATTCAAGTGCCAGATATGATCTAATTCATGTTTAAAAGATCATCTTGGCTTCTACATGAAAGAAATGACTTTAGTTGGCCTAGCTTTAAAAGAAAGAAACAAGCTAAGATACCATTATAGAAGTCTAGATAAGAGCTAAGCATGTTTTGGACCAGTGTAAAAGTGGGGAAATAGGGTCAGATATTGGATCATTTAAAAAGTAGAGTGATAGAACCTGTTCATGGATTATATTTTTAATGTGAAGGAAAAAGAGGAATCAAGAACTCTTAAGGCTTAGTCCTGAACCATAAGGTGAAACTAATGCCATTTACAGTGCTAAGCAACACCGTGAATTTGATATTAGGAGGGAATTAAGTGTTTTCTTAGGAGCAAGTCAAGTTTGAGATTCATAATAGTTATCTAAATTAAGATATTAAGCAGGCAGTTGGTTATGTGGATATAGCATTATGAATACAGTCAGGACTACAGATTAGCAGTCATTCGTGTGTAGACTTCCAGATTGTCTCCAGCTTAAACTTCTCCCCTGAATTTCAGGTTTTTGCATCATACTTCCTACTCAGCATCTGCACATGGGGATCCAAATAGGTACCACAGGCTTAATGGTTGCAAAAATAAAATCCTGATTATTCCCATAAAACTTGCTCAACATACCATCTTTCCTGTTTAGTTCATGAAAACTCCATTCTTCCTACTTGCTCTGTTCAAGATTGTGAACTCCCTCTTTTCACATTCTGCATAGATTTTATGAACAAATCCTACTGATTACTACCTCTATCAGAATTTGACACTCCTTACTACCTCCACTGGTACCATTGTATCTTGCCTGGATTATTGCAGTTGCCTCCTAAAATATCCCTCTGCTCCAAGCTTTGCCTCCCTGCAGTCTGTTCTTCATTTAGCTTTTAAGGAAATGCTTCACACCATGATTCAGATCATGTCACAGTGAGATTTCCATTATTCTCAAAGTAAAAGCCAGAATTCTTAAGAGTGGATCCTACACAAGCTACTCCCTCATTACCTGTGACCTCACTTCCTATCATTCTGATCCTCCTTGCTCATCCTGCTCCAGCCAGGAAAACTCCACTTAGTTTCTCAAATTCCAATCTTCTGTCTCAGGGCTTTTTTATATTTTCTCCTTTCTAACCAGAATGCTCTTAAGATCCATATGGCTCACTATATTAACTCTCAATGATTCCCCTTCCTAATCTCATGTATAAATGACCTATCATAGAAATAATATATAATCTATTATATATATTAAGCCCCCTCCCCTGGCATTTCCTGTTTTTCCTTACCTTAATCTGTTATTTCCATAGCATTATAATCTAACATACTATCTATGTTGCTTATTTTCTTAAAAAATATGATAATAGGCTGGGCACAGTGGCGCAAGCCTGTAATCCAGCACTTTGGGAGGCCAAGGCGAGAGAGGATTGCCTGAGCTCAGGGGTTCAAGACCTGCCTGGGCAACTTGGCGAGACCGCATCTCTACAATAATCAAAAAATTAGCTGGGCGTGGTAGCATGCACCTGTAGTTCCAGCTTCTTGGAAGGCTGAGGCAGGAAGGGTTGCCTGAGCCCAGCAGGTTGAGGCTGCGGTGGCCGTGAGCGTGCCATTGCATTCCAGCCTGGGCGACAGAATGAGACTCCACCCCCCCCCCAAAAAAAAACATGATTGATGGATGGATGGATGGATGGGATATGTTGAACTGTTAAATGATGAAGAGATGATATTTTAAGATGTAGAACTTTTAGCTTTTTTGTTTTTATGAATTTTACCTACAGAGATAGTCACTCATGATAAAACGGCACATGTCCAAGGTTATTTGTTATAGTGTTGTTTGTAATAACAAAATATTGGGACCACCTTTAAGTAAGTTATTAGTTAAATATATTATGATATATCTATAGAATTGAATAAAGTGCAGCTGAAAAAAAGGCCATGAAAGCTTTTTTATATACTAATATGGGATGATATCCAAGATATAGTAAGTGTGAAAAGAGCATGATTTAGAATTAGCCTATGCTAATTCTCCAAGGAACCATAGAACTAGAAATAATGGTTCCTCTAAGGAAAGGAACTACATGGCTAAAAAGGAGAGGGGGATTTTGCACCATTCAGTCTTTTGTGCCTTTTGCATTTTGAACAC